AGGGGAACAAACGGCGGTCTCCTGGCTGAGAGATGGCTGGTTCTGGGACTTCGTTGTTCATTATTACGTGCATAATATACAAAATATTTTTTTGAGGGATACCTACGAATTACGGTGGATTATTTTTTTTTATTAGGTATGTTGGATGAGAGCAGCCTGATATTTACAGACTTGCTTTCCGTACATTAGATGAGAAGTGGAGCCTCTGCTGTGGTGCAAAGATGCACCATCTTGTGTAAAGTCCGAACATAAGAGGTGAAAAGAAGTTGGGAGATGAATCAGGACTGCGATGGGGTTTCCCTTACAGCCAGAGGATCAAATGATTCACAAACATCTGGTGATGTTGCTGAATGGTGCATTAAGCCCTTTTGTAGACAAACTCGGGTCAGCTTTACGTGCGATTCTTTCTGTGATGAGTTGCTTTGGGCTGTTTGCAGTGAAAGCAAAGAGGAAATGTGGCTGTTGCATTCAGTTTACCTGCAGACAGCACGGAGGTCATTTCATTTCAGGTTGTCCCCCCCCCCCCACAGCAGCTGGTATTTGGTACGTTCTCATCGGAACCTGCCCACCTTAGCTATCGCAACAAAATACCAGAGCTGGATGGTCTGACTATAAACAGGCTTTCAATGAATCACCCTCTGGGTGTTACTCTGCATTCAGCCCCGATCCCTGTCCGCTGCCTCTCTGTGCTAGCCGCCCTGCATACTGAGTGTCAGACTTTGTGGCATGGAAAACCTTTCCTGTACTCTCGGTGATCCTCTTTTGCTTTTGAATGAGTGACGCTGAGTTGCGTTATTGTTGCATGTACAGTCACAAACAATGAGCGTGCTATTAGACCCCATGTTGTCCCTTATGATGTGCTGAGTTTTTCCAAAAAGGTCAGAGGGGATGGAAGGTATTTGTGTAGGATTCGTGTCAAGAGTGGGACTAAACAGGCCTTTAGTGGCAGTCACACTAAGCTTTCTGCCGGGCAGCGGGCATTCTTCCTCCATCCCCTATCCCGTGAGCCTCTGCTTCTGGGACAAAGTCCTCTTTGTATGCCCATGGCTCTTGGCTAGAGCACACAGAGCTTTGAAATTGTGTTTGAACGATGGGATTTTCATTTCTATCTCTCCTTTTCGTGCTTGCCCTCGCTCCTGTTTGCTTTCACTCTGCACCGAGCCTCACCCCCTAACCCTTCTCATCCACCTTTCTCCTATAGCACCATCACCGTGCGTGTTACCAGCTTGAGTTTTGTACTGGGTGCTCTGGATGGGCAGCATCAGTTTCTTCTTTATCTCTCCTGGATACACTCTAGACAGTTTTAGATGCCTACTGTGTAATATAAAGAAGCTTCAGAGAATTCATTTTGAATTTCAAATTCCTTATTATAAGCGGTCGGTAGACTTCTTCGAAGTTGCTCATATTTCCATGAAAACGTGTTTCTTTCTTCCCTTCCTGCTCATTCCTTTATCATGAAATATTGTGATTGCTAATGCTGTAATAAGTAACGGCCGTTATTATTAAAATTATGATATAAAGACTTGACGCTTGAGCGTGCAGAGAGGTACAGAAAGTAGCGGATTGCAGCTGTAAACACAGGGTGTCGGGTAGCTTTTCCTGATCTCGTCCCAAAATGAATTTCTGCTAAGATAATGTTTTTCCTCCAGCAGGATGTCCTTGCATTGATTTCATAGGGATGAAAGCAAAATGAGTATTTGTGGATTGTTTTATTCCGATTGTATTTCTTGTTGCTCTTCAGAATGAAAGCACCGTACTGCCATGGTTTTTGCTGCATCTGTTTAACTGGCTGCACATCTAAGGAACCCAGCAGCCCGTGCTCCTGCATCCCTGAGGCTTTGACCCCGTCCTTGCACCGCTTACTATTGTTTGCATACAGTTTTGGCCGTATAGGTATTTAAAGCTTGTTTGCACTGTTTACTGTAATCAGCGTAACTCGCAGTGGATATGGGGTGTCAGCTAAATGTGTGAAACGCACATGTAAATTATTCCACCCGAGGTGTTATTAAACAAGCTGCGACTTAAGCTAGTTGCAGCTTGTGGAAGTGTGTGTATGTGTGTGCCAGCAGACAGTCGGTTTCTCCCCCCACCTAGTAATCTCACAGCTGCTTGTCTGGCCCGTACCTGCTGCCGTCGTTATGGTGCTGCGGAAAACACAATACGGGTAAACTGCAAGTTTTCACCTCATTTACTGTTTGACCACTTACTGCTGACCGAATGAATGAATGACTCGATGTGGTGTGTTTGTCCAAATAAATCTCTAAATTTCACCTGCAAAGGACAGTCCAGTCAAATACTCAACACTGGAGTATTGTCCTTTCTCTGTGGCGCAGATATTTGCATGAATTCTTCATATGAGAGCGGGATGTATCAGAGAAGTTCCCTTTTCACCTGGTGGGTTGTCACTGCGTCAGAGAGCCTGCTAACCATTTATTTTCCCTGGGTTTCTATTGCAAGATAAAGAGTCCAAGGACTTCGCCCCCTTTAGGGGCACGCTCCCCCGGAAGAAGATTTTGTGCATTTTGAAGTTCAATCACTCTGGTGCACTTTGAGAGCAAAATTCAAGGCAAGATGTATGTAGAGCTTTGTGCTCTAGAAAACAATTTGGGGAACATTGATAGACGCAGCTAAAATATCTCACCAACAAAGCATGGTAAACAAGATGGGGTCTGTTTTAAGACGGGTATCTACGGTGAACTCTCTGGTGCCACAGTATTAGCAAGCTGTTATGTAATCAGACCAGCCAGCTTTGTTATGAACACACACACACACACACACACACACTTGTGCCTCTGTGCTTGTGGGGACCCTCACTGACATAATGCATTCCTAAACCCTGACCACAACCAACACAACTACAGTCCCATACCCTTAACCCAAAGTTAATTCTAACCCCAAATCTAAAACCAACTCTTAACCTGCTGAAGATGAGGACCACACATAAGGCCTAGAACTCAAAGTGGTCCTCACAACAGCAGGATAAACGGCACATTGCTGTTGTAATTCACTTATCCTGTTCTACACATGACATCTATTGCACTTCTGTCCATCCTGGGAGAGGGATCCCTCCTCTGTTGCTCTCCCTAAGGTATCTCCCTCTTTTCTCCCCGTTAAAGGGTTTTTTGGGGGAGTTTTTCCTGTTCCGATGTGAGGGTCCCGGGACAAGAGGATGTCAAATGTGTACATATTGTAAAGCCCTCTGAGGCTAATTTGTGATTTTGGGCTATACAAAAATTAATTGAATTGAATTGAATTGAATTGCTGACTTTCCTCACAGAGAAAATCAATATATTCTAGCAGGGTTTAGCCAATAGCACAACATTTAAGACGATTAAAGTTAACTTTACTGTACAGTGGGTATAGTTTGTGCACAAATTAAGCCTTTTATAATTCCCAGTGGTGGTTTAAGTTGGCGATGATATTACTCAGAATACAGTTGACATATCTGACCTTAAACGGCGACCTGATCTAGTAAATCACTAGATTGAAACCAGCTGGTAGTTACTAAGAACTTACGAAGGATTCAATTTCAAACTTGGTAATGGATTTGTGAATAACTGGTGCAACCCAATCCAGGGCCTTTTAAATGGAGATGGACTTGGTAAATGGACTTGCATTTGTATAGTGATATAGTTTCCGACCACTCGGCACTACACAACACATTACAATAGTCTCCCATTCACACACACATTTCTACACTGATGGCAGAGGCTGCCATACAAGGGCCCCCCTACCCATCAGGCTCTAATCTAAATATTCATTCTTTTGGGGGGACTGGAGGAGCCGGGGATCAAACCGCCCACCTCCCGATTAGTAGCTCTACCTTAATTGGTGCCACAGCCACCAATTACTGCTATACACCTGTTACACCTGATGAGATGAGATAAGAGATCTGCTGTAAAAATATCTATTGGCTATAATTCAAAGTGAAATCGGGGTTCGTGGACAATGTTGGAAAAGCAGTAAACTCTGTTTTTAGCGTACTTTTTGAAAAAGTGATTTCACATTAATCCCAATCATGCAGCATGTGCACAAGAGATTTATTTTTTTACACATTAGCGGTCTGATTCCTTGAGCAGAGATGCCATCGTTTCATTTATGTGAGCTTCCGTAAATGAGCTGTAGCTCTGATGATGCCTCCTGCCCTCGTCTTGTGTGGCTGTTTGCTGACGACGATCTTTGCGTACTGTTTCTACATGCATGTGCCTGCTTTTCGTGAAAGGGGGCTAGTTATTGTTTTGCTCCCCATTGACGGTTCAAATATTTGTTTCCACTTGGAACAAGCTACGATGGTGGCGACAGTTTGCAACATGTTTGATTAGCACCCAAAAGTATAATCTATATATCAATCCTGTTGAAAATCTGTTTGTGTTGCTCTCTAATAATTCAAATGAGAAGACAAAGGGAAGGAAAGCCAAGCCTCTGCTAAAGAATAGGCCAGTTTGTGGACCATTTCCTAATTGTTAATGAGGGGTTCCAGGGCAGCTTGCCAAGGCTGTGGGGGCCAATGGCGAAGCCCTGTTTGAACAGTGAAGGGGGGCGGCGAGGGAGTAGGGGCTAGCTGTGGGGACACTGTCACTGAGGGGACCCCTAAACCCCTTCGGCCCCCTCCTACCTGGTCCACAAAGTGCTGGAGCAGGCAGCTGAGAGCGGCTGTCACTTCCATCCGAGACGTTAATGAGGGTCTAGCTGCTGCTTCGGGACTCTGGTGAGCTTGTGGGGCTTGCCGACTGCTATCTGAGGAGCAAACCCTTTGGAGAGTAAAGGGGGGGGGGGGGTCACTGAGGTCTTGAAGATGTCCAACAACAACAATAACCAAGAGGAGAATGAGGAAGAGGATGCGGAAGAAAAAGGAGAGGAGGTCATGGTGAAAATCCCTCCACCACCTCCTGAGGCCAACGGGAAGGGTCCAGCTGAGGAGGGGAAGCCGGTGCCCAAACCCTTGCCCAACGGGCACCATTGCCAGCCTATGAACCGCAGTATTTTTCCTCTCTCCGCAGTCTCGTCGGCGGCCGAGAGGATCCGCTTCATCCTCGGCGAGGAGGATGACGGCCCAGCGCCGCCTCAACTCTTCACGGAGTTGGACGAGCTTCTGTCGGTGGATGGACAGGAGATGGAGTGGAAGGAGACGGCCAGGTAAGGACCTCAGTCTCAAGATTTGGGTCTTCCTGTAGATGCAGTTGCAATGAATTTAGAAATGTTCTCCATTGACTTTCACTCGATCGTTGAGAACATGTAACACAGTTGGCTGTGAAAAGTCATCTATACATCAAAAAATCCTTGTTGGGAAAAAAAAAATCTGTTTCTTAACGTTCACCTCAAAAACTTTGCTTACTTTAATTGTTTGGATTTTAGTTCTAAACCGCCACCCCAGAGTCAAATAACTAATACAAATATGGTAAACTTCACTGAGTAAAATCAGTTCTTCTAACGTCAAATAATTTGCCGTGCATTGAATTGGGAGCAGCGTAAAAAGCGAGCTCACAGGGTCTCGCAGGTCTCTCTCGTGTGGCCCACTTGTAGGATGGAGATGGGCTGATTGTTTATACGTCATTAGCGTTGGTTGAGTGAAGCTCTCTCGGGGTGGAAACTGGATCCCTGGGCTGCTGTTTGAGCCTCCAAATGAGTTGATCTGTTATCATAACCTCTGACCAATTGTGCTGCAGATAGAAGTTACATTTTGGTTCACTGTTGGTTGAGTGATTTGCAGAGGAACTCTTCTGAAGGACTCTGCTGTCAAAGTCTTTCAGCATCCTTAAAAAAGAGCTTCACTTTTACTCAGGAAGGCTTTTTAAGGCCGGATGCACCCGGGACAATTGATATCGGATTAGTGGAGAATGAGCACAATGAGCAGCTTTAACGGAGTCATGTCAAAATTCAAAAGGTGACACTATAGCTTGACAGTTTAACCTGGATTGGGCAAAATGTCAGTCAAAATGTAAAGGAAGTCATTTCATGTCATGTCAACCATTTGGAAAAAAAAACATCAAACGCTACAAGGTATAATTTATTGTCATTCTCTCAATATACAATAAGCAATATACAAGGGAACAAACCTGTGTTTATTCATTGGTATTTCCTCAGTTAGAACTACTACAATTTAAAAAAGGAGATATAAAACAAGTTTAAAGACGGTTTCTCAATAAAATAAGGTAGAAGTGGTGGTGAAAATGTCAACACAACAAAATATTTTTCTTTACATAAGGCAGAGTTCTCTGCTGTGTAACATAATAAAATAAAAATTATACAATACAAGAGGTTCAGCAGGGTTAAAAAGGTTAGAAGAGGACTACAGTTCCAGACCTTTTTAAAACCAGTTTTCAGTGCTTACAATGGGTGAAATAAATCAGCCCTGTATCTTTAATGTCAAACTTATTATTCTGCAGATAACTGCAGAGATTAAGATCCTGGTCCAAAGTCTCACCAAGTGCACTCAGTGGACCCAAAACGAATAAAAGATCTCACAAGTGCTGGGTAGTGCTGGCGGTCCGCCAAGTGCTATTTTGGCAGCCAAAAGTGTCCAAATAAAAGGCTGGTATAGAAACAACTTCTCAGTCCCAGTTCAGTTTCGTGTGTGTGTGTGTGTGTGTCTGTGTGTGTGTGTGTGTGTGTGTGTGTGTGTGTGTGTGTGTGTGTGT